TACACACAAAGTTTGCAGACTATCAAGGATCAAAACCTCTACCAATCTACAACTAATTACAAAACTCTAACCATATATAAGTAAATATTTCTAAGCATAAATGACAATCAACAATACAAACTCTAACAAAAGGCATGTCTAAAATACTCTTAGGAAAGCATGTTTTGAGTATATTCCTCAACTCTTGTCACAGTTTAAGTGTGTGATGTTATAAGAGTTTGAGTTTCTTTTTCTTTCTGTTCAAAAACACATAAGTATATACACTTCGTACACCCGCTTACTCTTTGACTTTATTAAAACAGACGGTGTATTTCAGTTTGAATTTCAGTAATTGTATGTTGATATGGTAATTTAGTTTTATGTTAGGTGAAGGAGATGTCCATTTCTGCGTCTTGCAGGATTGAAATGGAGCACGTTGAAGACGGTGATGTGAATGCTGACAAATGCAAAGAGTTTAGTCTATTTAAAAGGCAATGTGGATGAGAGGATTATGAAATTATTGTGTGAATGATGCTACATTTTAGATCAAAAGTTAGTAGAATTACAGAGGGTTTGTAGATCGTAAATACAAAACAAAAAGAGTTTGATTAGCCTGTAGAAACAGAAAAGAGAGAAACAGGAAATATAGCTCTGAGTTGCTGTGTGAGTAACAGGAAGCGTTTGTGTGACAGGAACTTTGCATGCCCATAAAAGGAGAATCACTGTGACAAGTGAGCACCCAGAGAGAGAGAAACAGACTCTAGGCAGATGAAGCAAATGGAGATTTTAAGAAAAGAAATGAAAAGGATATTAATGGTATGGTTTAGTATGTCAATACAGGTGGACTTTTCTCATCCTGGAATTTTGAGTACAGCGGCAAAACCATAGATTAACAGAATTGGGAGGAAAACAGGCCAGATTTTGGCTTAAAATTTTACAGCTTGACCTCCCACTTGGCCCCGATCCTGAGAAGAAGCTGAAAGGACAGTTAATCTCCTGATGCAAACCACACTGACGACACCAGCAGCAGCATGGAAGAAAAGCACGTGATGCAACATGTACTGTGAATTACAGGCTGGGCAGTTGAACAGTGGGATAATGAACTGTGGAAAAGCACTGGCCACTGATTTCCAGATTTGCCATGCTTGGAGTAATCTTGAAAGAGACGACTGAAAGGATCAACAGAGAAGAAGAAACCACGTGATGAAAATGTGCACGGTGAACTGGAGGCTGGTAAGAACAGTGTGACATAACTGTTTAAAGGCACTGAATGTGATATTTTGCCAGGCTGGGACTTAATCTAAAAGGAAAATACTGAAAAGAAACAGAGAAGAAACAGATTGTGTTTGCTGGAGATTTCAAGACAACACAGGACACTGTGAAGAAC